TACGGTACCTATAACTAAAATACAATTTTTTAAATTTTTGTCTGTCTGTCTGTCTGTCTGTTTGTTCCGGGTAATCTCCGAAACGGCTGGACCGATTTTGACGGGACTTTCACTGGCAGATAGCTGATTTAATAGGTAACTTAGGCTACATTTATTTTAGAAAAAGAATTAGGGTTCCGCGCAAAAACATCAAAACCCTAACACGCGAACGAAGTCGCGGGGAACAGCTAGTTGATACATAAGTTGAAAACTGGAATGGAACACGGTTAATAGTTTTTCAGAAATAAAACAATTATTTTCATAGATATTTAAATATATTATTGACAGTAGTAATATTATACACACAAAAATAAACTTGGCCACTCAATTTTAGATGATTATAGAGGCATCTTAGAACACACCGTTTTCAGCAACCTATTATTATCCGTTAAACATTTTCACTAAGTAAAACGACTCTAATAAATCACCACAAAGTAAAGATTTACTGGCTAGTAAGTAGTAACACCACACTTAAGTTATTATTCTATGAAATAAACTAAGTCGACATCAGTTTTGAATTTGGCTTAGAAAAGTTAAACAAAACTAACTCCATTCTATTCGAAAATGATTTGAAACATTCCCATTTAAAATAATATCCAACTGTTGTAAAATGAATGAGAGCCGTGGTAGCTCAGATGGATAGTGCTCGCTGCAAGTTCCACAGTACGCGAGTAATCCGGGTTCGATCCCCGCCGGCACCAATGAAATTGTTAATTACAATCTTAAGTGCTAATTTACCACGTGCTCGGCGGTCAAGGAAAACATCGTGAGGAAACCTGCATGTCTGAGAAATAAAAAATTAAAAAATTATCTCTAAGACATGTGAAGTTCGCCAACGCGCATTGGGGCAGCGCGGCAGACAATTCCATTTCCCTAAAAACCCTCCCAGAAATGAGAGGAGGTCTGTGCCCAGCAGTGGGACGTATATAGGCTGCAACGTTACGTACGTAAAATGAACTTTGAAACGTTTTCTTTTCATAAATATGTATTAATCTAGGTTATGTTTTTTTTTTCACAACAGCCACAGATACATTTATATTTTCGGCTACAAAGTTTGTGCACAGACAAATATTTCAATCGGACATAAAAATAATCGGAACGTATAATTTATACTGTATAAATCATGGATTAAACAACTTTTATTTGTTATATATATTACAAAATATATAGTTTATAATTTATAAGATAAGTAACCATAATTTTAATGGGCAGGTGACAAAGATATTAAAATACAAAAATAAAAATTTCCTAAACTTTAATTGAAATACAATGCGTAATATTGATCAAAAGTGATTTCTCTGTCTAGCGTATAGCGCTGTCTCTATTGAAACTATATTTTACTTATTTTGCCCGACGTTAAACGTAGTGATTATATTATATTCTCTTTGCCTGACGTTTGTATCAGCTCAATAGTCAATAGCGAGTTGAGTTGACCCCCGTGCTCACCATACATACGAAACACGGCTGTTAATTTTACGTTGGTATTCTGCATTGATATAAAAAAAATATATTTTTTAGTATATTCTGTGAGAGCGTTGTCCTTCCCCGGTCGAGCTTCTTCTTCTTCTTAATAACTGGCTCTATGGCTCTGGGATCTAGCTCTTCTGAGCCTGAAGTTACAATATATTATAATAATTATCCTTCATAGTATATTGCTTCACAATATGTTGATGCGTCACATTGTGCAGCCCTTGGGAGATTTTGAGCGCAACTTGAGCCAGCAGACAGCTGACTGTTGGCGATGGTATCTTAAGGCGCCTAAGCAGACGGACGCCTCATTTTGAGAATCACATCACCATCAGAGCACTTGTTTCACAGTTTCCACTAATAGTTCACATGCACAGACACTTCATACACAAAATCGTACCACTTTTGCATATCAAAGTCCACTTGAAACCATTATTTAAACAATAATACAGGAGCAGCAAATCGCCGCCGGTCAAGTTCCCGCCAAAACTCCCCCGGTCGATGCTTCTTCTTAATAACTGGCTTTACGGCTCTGGGATCTAGCCTTTCTGTGCCTGACCCGGTCGATGCGATCCATTTGTGCCAAAGAGTATAGTAATATATATGGGTTAGTGTTACGGCTTAAGTGGTTAATGGTATGGGTTCAAGTTACTATACTCTTTGGGTATGGGTATTGGGCAAAGAGTATAGTAACCAGTGTGACCATATGTGGCAGGTTCCTGCCATTTTGGCAGGATTGGCCTCTTATTTTAGCCTCTGGCATGATCGGTTGACGTTTTATAAAACCTGACAGTATTTGGCAGTATTGGGGTATTAAAATAGAGTTCATTATAGCAAGTGAAAATGGCGAAAATAGCAACGCTAGATACATCGCCAGCATGTTGGGGATTTCCCAGTATTTCTCGATTTCTCGTATTACGTTTGTATCACATTCATTAAACAACTTTAAAAAAATTGCGTACAAAGTTGATAATCTTAAAACGAACTAACACGAGTTGGTTAATATTTCAATCAGTTATAAAAGAGACGTACTTTAGTTTGGTATTGCATTAGATTTCACGGTGATAACATCTTCTTAATAATATTTCGTGGACGATAGTAATTATAGGTGACGGTGATGAAGCGATAATATGAAAGGGTGTATAGAGCGAAGTGGGAGCAAGATCTTTTACTTTCATCATGGATCTCCAAAGCTAAAGATGATCCAGACTGAGTAACTGCAAATTGACACCCCGGTTGTCCGCTTTAAAGAATCATACGTCTACTAGTAAACATCAAAAAAATATGAATACATGCGAAAGAATATTCTCTCAAATAAATTAAGAAAAAAGCACGAAACAGATTTATAAACAAATATTTACTGTTTATCTTGTACGTTAAACAAGACATTAGTGAGCATGGCGATTGCATTGCATTCGAACCAACGAAAGATATGTTTAATTTTAATTTTAAAAAATATAGCATTTATATGTGTATTTTTACTTTTCTTAGTTTAATACAATGGTAAATAAAGTTGGCACTATTTAGGCATTTTTCACTACAGACTTTGGCAGGATTTGGCAGGTTTTTAACAAAAGTGAGACAGGATCTGTATTTTAAAGATGGTCACCCTGATAGTAACTGTCCTATACAGGGGAGTTTTGGCGGGAACTTGATCAGCGGCGGTTTGCTGCTCCTGTATTATTGTTTAACCTCTCAGACCTTGACATTTTATTGGACATATTTAGTTAGAACTATGGTCAAGCCAAAGAGTATAGTAGGTCAGGCCAGACGATTTTTTAAAAAAATGGTAAAAATAACTTAGAGTCATTACTATGTTCATATCCAAAAATAAAAAATTATCAACAATTAAAATATCGAATTATTTATATGAAGGTCAAGTGAGCGCTAGAGTGACGACGATTGCAAGACGATTTGTCGATAAATGAAATGTTTCGAGAAATTATCAATTACTGTGTAGTGGCGGTGTATGAATATTCATACTATTCCGTGGGTTTCGTAAAAGGCGACTGATCCACTGTTCAATACAACAAGGTACGTGTACCGTGGAACAGAACGTGGCAACTATGACAAGTATACCCTCTATGAGGAATATAGTGGAGGCCTATTTTCATTGGGGATTTTTATAGGATGTAACGGTCCATCACCAGCAGTGGAATGAAACTGTAAGGAGAGGGAGGGATTAATTTTATTATTTAAAAAAATATTTTTGCGTTTTTTTTTTTTATAGAAGAGGGGGCAGACGAGCATGCGGCTCACCTGATGGTAAATGACTACCGCCGCCCATGAACAACCGCAACACCAGGGGAATTGCAGATGCGTTGCCGGCCGTTTAGAAAGGTGTAAGCTCTTTTCTTGAAGGTCCCTAAGTCGTATCGGTCCGGAAAATCCGCCGGTGGTAAACAATTATGTGTAAAAAAGTCATCAAACAGCATCAAACAATTTATTAAACAAAAGTTGCGTAAACAAGTTCAATGGTTAAAACAATATTAAATAGCAAAACCAAACAATTCTACTGAAAAGAAAAAAAAGTAAATATTATTTCACTTTTACAACTAAGGCAAATCTAACGAATCGCTATATTATGTTAAAATTCGATATATATATATATATATAGTATATACTTTATTACGCTATCTTTGAGCAACGCCATTTTTCTAACGACTTCAAACAGGAGAAGGAAGTCGACTGTGTTTTTTTATGTGTGTTACCTCATAACCTTCTGGGTGAACTGATTTCGATGATTCTTTTTTTATTTGAAAGCTGGTGCTTCACATTCACATTTTTATTTTTAGTTATTGTTGAAAACAACTTCGCCATAATGTTCACTATATATCGAAATTATAACATAAAACGTAATTTTCGCGCATTGGACTTTGTGGGATATGAAAATTTGTGTTTATTACATGATTTATTGTGATAACTCACATTTTTTATTTACTTTTCAGTTAATTCTGGCTATTAAATATAGTGATACGTGAACGACACAGTATTTGAAATGGCAATTTTATAAAATATATGAAATTGTTACGAAGCAAAATATAAGGAATTAAATTTTAAAACAGTGTAATTACTTACCATTTGTATAAAAACTAACAAAAAACTTTCTATTGTACCCACTTAATTTTTTGTAAAATTTCTAGTTAACTCTTACACTCACGCGGCGAAGGATATAAGATTAAAGTATGTGACGTAAACGCGACGCGAGGCGGAAACTCGTCATTTGAAGTAAATTCTGTTAATTTAAAGAAGCGTAATTTAATAACGAAACTAATTCTAATAAAATTTTAGTTTTATAGTTCATCTAAATAACATTTAAAAAATAATTGTTATGAGCACAATAACTATGGTTCTGACTAAACGTAGTGTAGTGATCATATACTCTTTGGTTCTGAGGGGTCCTTTCTAAATATTACCATACTCTTTGGAGCGTTCTACAAAGTTGACCTTGGATTGCCTCATGTGTACTTCAAAGGCTTGACAGATTAAATAATGGTTTGAAGTGGACTTTGATATGTAAAAGTGGTGCGATTTTGTGTATTAATTGTCTACGCATGTGAACTATTAGTGGAAACAGTGAAACAAGTGCTCTGATGGTGATGGATTCTCAAGATAAGCTGTTTGTCTGCATAGGCGCCTTTAGATACCATCGCCAACTATCAGCTGTCTGCTGGCTCAAGTTGCCGTCAAAATCTCTCAAGGGCTGCACAATGTGACGCATCAACATATTGTGAAGCAGTGAACTATGAAGGATAATTATTTATAATAAACCGAATAAAAATACTCAAGACTTGGCCTAAAGGTTTTTTTTTTATAGGAGTTTATGGCTAGATACCAGGCCATAAACTCCTATAAAAAAAAAAAAAATCCTATACAGGAATTGGGTATGGCAGTGCATAAAATACGAACAGTGAAACATTAATTTTTATATATTAAGATAGAAAGTTTTTAAATATGATTAGTATGACAAACTAAGTAAGTAGATAGTTGAATTTAATGTCATGATACCTAGAAGTTGTCCTTCACAAATTAATTCCTACCAAATGTTATGTTATCATCTTAATTTCGTTGTTTCAGAATGAAAATGGATGAACAATCCTCACTCGATAGTGATTACAGTGACTCAAATAAATATACAAATTCGAAGTTGAAGAATGCAAAGAAATCTAACACAATATACAATTGTGAGCATTGCCCGGAACAGTTCCTAACAACACGAGCTTTAGTGTTGCACTCACGATCCCATCTCAAATTGAAAGGCGTAACATTCACATGCGCTCTCTGCCAGGAAACATTCAAAACTAATGACGAGCTGATAGAACACAAATATGTTCATGATTCGGAGGACCTTTGCTTTACATGCAAGAAATGCAAAGTGGCCTTTTCAAACCATTGTGATTATTTATATCATAAATTAAGACATACAACAGCTTCAGTATTCAAATGCGAGGAGTGTTCCTACACATACCAAGTAAGGAGGAGCTTCAAGGGACATATAGCAACACACTATGATAGAAAACTGAAATGTCAGTTATGTGGTGCTACATTTAAACAGGATAAAGATTTGCAAACACACAGACGGAATTTTCATAAAACGGGCATACAGTGTGTGGAGTGTGGGAAAAATAATCAAACTCGGAGAGATCATGAGGAACATATGGTGTCACACACTGGGGTTAAAGTATTTCAGTGCCTGTATTGCGGTGAAGGTTTTTCCAGGAGTGCTTTAAGACGTGCTCATGCAAGAAAACATACTAAATCCAAACCGTATGAATGTGAGGTGTGCTTACAAAAGTTTAGGGTCAAGAACAATCTCTCGCTGCATATGATTACCCATGATACTGAGAAAAGGTATGAGTGCCACGACTGCGGGAAGCAGTACTTTCACAGAGACAGCATTATACAGCACACAAGAAAACATATGAACCATGGACTATATAAATGTCCGAAGTGTGAGCGGTCCTATACTACTTATCGAAACTTGTGCGACCACACTAAAGTTGCTCACATAAAGAAGAGGCCGTTCAAGTGTGATGCTTGTGACGTCACATTTGTCCTTAAAAAATCTCTCCAAAAACACATGAAAACCAGATATCATCGTAACAATGCATATGCTATGACCGTTAATGAAACCAAAGACTGATAACTTTTTTTTTAATAATATTGAATCGAGGATGCCTGTGGGAGAAAAAGACCAAAATTCTTGAAACAGAAACAGAAACTTTTTTATTCAATATAGATTATAAATAATACTTATTGAAAGTCACTCTTTTGTCTAATTACCACTGGTTCGAAAAAAAAAAACCTCTGTCCTGGGAAGAACCAGCAAGAAACCCATTGCGACTTTTTTTTTTAAATAACAGCTTACAATCATGATGTTACACAAATTAACAACACAACAAATTAGAAATAGCTTGGTAGCGATCACCTCATTTCCAGGGGTTATTATCATCTATAAATTCTTTAATATTATAAAAACCCTTTTTATACAAATTTAGTTTAATAAAGTTTTTGAACTTTGAGCAGGTCAAATTTTGTATATTTTCTGGAATTTTGTTGTAAAAGCGTATACATCGCCCCAAAAATGAATTACTGACTCGATGGAGTCGAGTCAGTAATTCTACAGAATGAATATCACTTATTTTTGTAAAACTGCTTTTATTTTTGTATGTGATAGAAATCCTTCAGAGACAAAGACCTCAAATTAATAAGAGCCTATAAACAATAACCTACTCTATATTACGACATGCAGTGTTAGTGCGGAAGCCAAAAACCACAACCGCTGGCATGCTCTGAAGGAGACCTGCACTCTCGCTACTTGAGGAGTTCATGCATGTTACTGCATTTTTAATATATATTTTATTTTTAATTATTTTAAATCTATATTAAAACCAAACTATTGTATAAATTACAAAATGATTGAATTTAATTAATACATTTAATATAATGTAATTAATTAAAAACAAATGAAAAGATGATAATATGAAAACTATTAATATACAATTTTATCATTTACATAAAAATTCAAATATATATAATACAAAAACTAATAACTTATCATGTAGTACATGAAACTATTAATTAACTATGCACTTTTGAAAGGAAAACAAAATTAACACTTTCACTGTCCAGGTACCGCATGTGGGACCCGGACGTATAGCACTACATGTCCGGGTCTCACATGTGGTATCCGACTAGTATAGTATTTCATACAAGAAAATATCCTTAGACTCTACGGAAAGGATCATTATCAAGAGGTGAACTTGTAGGGCTTGAAATTAGTGAACTAAAAATCTTGTGTACCTCCAAATATCTTTATTTTTGACCAAGTTATGACAAAAACAAAACAGTAAATGAAATAAAGAAAATGAACATAGAATATGAGTTTTATATTATGACCTAACCTAAATGAAATTTAGCAAAACATGCCAAACAGAATGGTTTCTCACATTGTTTACAAATATGGTCAACTATTTTGGCTTTTGATTTTGCTTGAGCAACTGTCAGTCCCAATTTTCGCTGTTCATCGTAATACAGTGAGCACCGTTTCCTTATAATTTTTTTGTCGTCCTTACGAGGTATTTCTTCAAGATAATGATTTGTGGTTCTTCGTGACGGTGGTATCGATATTATGGACGATGATGACGGACGATGAATGGAGGAAGTGCCCTCTTCTAAATTCAAAAATAGTCGTATAATACGTGATTTAGCTTGAAGTATAGTCATTTTTTCTTTACGTACAGCAGTTGGATGTAGTTTGTTATAAACCACAACTCTGTTTGTAATTGCTACGCCGAAAATCATGTCGATTGCAATTTTTTTTATACCATATCAATGACTTTCTTATTGGTGGTTGATAACTGCATAACTGGTCCGAGAAATTAATGCTCTTTTTTTAAATTATATTCTAAAACTACTTTGGGTTTTGGTCTAGGATTTCTTTGTCTAGTCATACACATTTTATCACTATGACAGGTGGAAATCATAAGAACGTCTCTTATCCTTCCATTTGCTGACGGTAACATTTTCTTTTTGGCTTTCACATATTCCGGTAGATGTTTTCTATTTTTTCTTAGAGTGCCAGAAAGATCAGTTTGATTAGATAAAAGATATGTCGCTAGAGGAAAACTAGTACAAAATTATCTGCGACAGTCAAACGACCAGCACCAAGTAAATTACGACATAATTTCACAACGATACTGCCAGGCTTATCCAAATTCTCTATTGTTTCGTCGGCGCCGCAATATATCTCATACTTCCAAGTATAACCATCTGCAGTACATAACTTATAAATTTTTATTCCGTATTTATTAGTTTTGGATGGATTGTATTGTCTAAATAGAAGACGACCTTTGAAGGGTACCATGGACACAGATTAAAATTAAAAATGGGTCACATGTGGGTCACACACCTCGGACTCCTGATGCTAATTCCTCGTCCCAATCAGCCCAGGGAGTTCAGAGATCCACATGAGGTACCCAGCACATACTATATATAATTGCTTGGACGTTGCGGGAAATTTGTAATAACTGCTTGGACAGTGAAAGTGTTAATGTTACAATACTTTTTTTTAATTCTATTATATTGTGATATCACACACAGATGTTAAATGCAAAATGTTAAATATTGTGAAATGCATGAAATATGTAAAAGGCTCTTTTATTTTTAATATGCATATTGCAGAAAGGGACTTAGTTCATTTAAATTAACTTAGGGAATTAAGTAAAAACATAATACATACACATACCTAAACACTCACGCCTGTCACCCAGAGGGGTAGGCAGAGATTATGGACTTCCATTTGGCACGATCCTGACACACCTCTCTCGCTTCCTCCACATCCATATACCTACGCATACACGCTCGTCGGTTAAAGGTACTCTTGATTTGGCCTATTTTTAATATATCGCCAATTTGGTCGATAAACTTTCGCCTAGGGCGACCCTTCCCGACTATGTATAATATATATATAAGTAAAAACTTTTTAATAATGTACTGATGTTGATGGACTTGCATTTACGAGTACACATTATATATTATTTACGTTTATTAAGCGGATGTATATTAATAATTCGATTAATTTTGTTATATAGAAAAGGACCAATAAAACGTTGAAACTTTTTAATAAAGCAAGTCCTAAAAGGAATATTAGGACATACTCTGTCCTTTCTTGGCGTTTGGGGTTGCTTTGGGTCGTAAGAGACTTTCTTATGTTGGGATAAGATCGTATCGCACACCCCGATGAGGAGGTGGAGGAAAGGTATGAGGATATTTCTAGAGCCATGCATTCCTCCAAAACCAACTATACGGTTTTAATGGGAGACTTCAATGCAAAAAGAGCTGAAAGTAGGGAACGGAACAACGGGCAACGGAACCCAAGAACGGAACTCTTTCTTCCAGAAGCGGCGTCACAGGAAGTGGACCTGGTCGAGCCCCGACGGTTCGACAAAAAATGAGATTGACTTCATTATGACGACCAGACGCCGACTGTTCAGTGATGTCTCCGTGATCGCGACTCGCGAGGGTGAAAACTGGAAGCGATCACCGAATGGAGTCTCGTCTAATGAAGTCAACACTCCGTCCCCTCGTGCTCTGTTCCAAAGTCCCGAAACCTTTCAGCTCGAGTTACAAAACCGTTTTCAGTGCCTAGAAGACTGCAATTAAGTTGACGATATGAATGACAAGCTCGTGGAAACTGTCCACGCGGTCGGAGCTAAGTTCTGCAAGACTCGCCGCAGAAGAATGGAATTACAGCGAAGCTTTTGAAAGCGGGTGGAAAACCGGTACTTGAAGTCCTTCAGAAACTCTTTAATTCCGTCCTCCATGGTGGCACTACTCCGGAGGCGTGGAGCAGAAGTACGGTGGTCTTGTTTTTCAAGAAAGGCGACAACGCTCTCTTGAAGAACTACAGACCGATTTCCCTTCTGAGCCGCGTCTACGTGCTGTTTTCGAGTCTTTACGAATCGTCTCGCACGCAGATTTGACGACTTCCAGCCTCCTGAACAAGCCGGTTTCCGAAAAGGCTTTAGTACCATAGACCACATACACACCCTTCGGCAAATTATACAGAAGACAGGAGTATAATCTGCCACTTTGCCTTGCGTATGTGGACTATGAGAAAGCCTTTGATTCCGTCGAAATTTGAGCGGTGCTGCAGTCCCTTCAGCGATGCCAAGTTGACTGTCGGTATATCGAAGTACTGAAGTGTTTGTACAATAGAGCTACGATGGCTATCCGAGTACAGAATCAGAGTACGAAACCTATCCAACTGCAGAATGGTGTAAGACAGAGTGACGTTATATCCCCGAAACTCTTCACCGCTGCATTGGTAGACGTTTTCAAGCTGCTGGACTGGAAAGGATACGGTATCAACATCAATGGCGAGTACATCACTCACCTTCGATTTGCCGACGGCATAGTCCTTATGGCAGAATCGCTGGAGGACCTAAGCACTATGCTCAATGACCTCAATAGTGTTTCCCAACGGATAGGTCTTAAGATGAACATGGTCAAAACAAAAATCATGTTTAACGTCCATGTCATACCTATGCCGGTAGGTGTTGGGAGCACTAAGCTCGAAGTTGTTGACGAGTATATTTACCTGGGACAAATAGTCCGACTAGGTAAGTCCAACTTCGACCGAGAGGTCAATCGACGGATTCAACTCGGCTGGGGAGCGTTCGGGAAACTACGACAAATCTTCTCGTTAGACATAGGTACCTCAAAACCTTAAAACGAAATTGTACAACCAGTGCGTGTTACCAGTGATGACTTACGGATCTGAGACGTGGTCCTTTACTGCTAGCCGTATGAGGAAGCTCAAGGTTGCTCTGCGACCTATGGAGAGGGCAATGCTCGGGATTTCTCTGCGTGATAAACATAGAAATGAGGATATCCGCAGTAGAACCAGAGTAACCGACGTAGCCCAACGGATTAGTAAGCTGAAGTGGTAGTGGACCGGCCATATAGCTCGAAGAACCGATAACCGATGGGGAAGAAAGGTTCTTGAGTGGCAGCCTCGTTCCGGTAGGCGAAGTGTAAGGCGACCCCCACGAGATGGAGTGACGACCTGGTAAGACATGCAGGAAGTCGATGGATGCCGGTGGCTCAGGACCGTGACCGTGCTTTGTGGCATTCCTTGGGAGAGGCCTATGTTCAGCTGTGGACTTGTGAAAGGCTGTATTGATGATGATGGGTTTTAATGTGTATTTTGCTGGGAATGTTATTTTGTGCTATACCAAAAGTAATGAACTTAGTTTTCGACGCGTTTAGTGTCAGTATGTTTTTCTGAAGCCATTGTGTTGCCTGTTGCAATGCTATTTCAGCCTTGATTCCATTTTCCTCCCAAGTTTTACCATGAAAAACTAGCACTGTATCATCGGCAAATGTAAAGATCTTACAATTATTCAAATTAAGATTACATAAATCATTTAACATATATTAAGAAGAGACTAGGGCCGAGGACACTGCCTTGTGGCACGCCATAAGTGATGGGAGAATCTAGACAAGTCAAGTCTCTAACCTTTACCTTCCGTGAGAAATATAACTTTCAAACAGACATAATGGTTCCCCGCGTATACCAATTTTATGCGTTTTATCTAGAAGTATGGGTGTAGAGCAACACACTATGATAGAAAATTCAAATGTCAGTTATGTGGGGCTACATTTGAACAGAATAAAGATTTGCAAACACACAGATGGAATTTTCATAAAACAGGCATACAGTGTGTGGAGTGTGGGAAAAATAATCAAACTTGGAGAGATCATGAGGAGCATATGGTGTTATACACGGGGGTTAAAGTATTTCAGTGCCTGTATTGTGGTGAAGGTTTTTCCAGGAGTGCTTTAAGACGTCTTCATGCAAGAAAGCATACTAAATCTAAACCGGATGAATGTGAGGTGTGCTTACAAAAGTTGGAGGTCAAGAAAATTCATATGATTACTCATGATACTGAGAAGAGGCCACGACTGCGGGAAGCAGTATTTTCACAGAAACAGCATTATACAGCACACAAGAAAGCATATGAACTATAAACTGTATAACTGTCCCAAGTGCAAGAAGTCCTTTGTTACTTACCAATAGTTGTGCGATCACGCTGATGTTGCTCACATAAAGAAGAGGCGGTTCAAGTGTGATATTTGTGATGTGACGTTTGTCCTCAAAAGATCTCACCTCTTACACATGAGAGCCAGATACCACCGGAGCAATGTATAATACTATGAGTGTTAAGGGAAACAAAGACTGATTGATTTTAATGAGGTTGTTATCAAAATCAAATAAATATATACAATTTTTTATTTTTACAAAAAAAAATTATTACAATTAAGAACATGCCG